ATACAAATAGATAATTGAGAGAAGACGGTCAAGAATGGCGGGGGACATGGCAGGTTGAAATTAGTAACCTATATCCAGTCACATGCAACTGCAGGTCGCGTTAGGTAAGGTAATACCCGGTAGGGCGGGTTGAAAATGTCATTCCTAATGGAGAGTAGTATTTTAAATCATTGAAAGATTTGAAGTCCATACCAAACACCTAATAAAGTATGTTTGGTGGAGTTGTGGAACTAGTTTATCTAATTTATTAGATCTCGTAAAAATATTGATTAGTGGTTAGTGGATTTAAGTTAAAAAGAGGTTGCTCATGTGAATATTGTTTATTAATTGTTCACAGTACTGTTTTGGGTTATGAAAAAGGAAATTGCATGATGTATTTGTTTTGTTGTTTCCGTTTGGCAAAATACACTTTCATAGCCAAAACTTTAACGATTTTGTCAATAATTATTATGGAAATCATAAACACGGAAATAAGTTCCTGTAACCGAAAGACTGAATTATTAATCTTTTCACTTCCGTAACCCTTAAACGGAAGATAATAATAGTTAATTATGTAACGTTCAGCAACAGGAAAAATTATAACTATTATTATACTGAAACCTTTCATAATGGAGCAATACAACTAACCGAAAGATAAACAATTATCATAATAGTTGTTAACCAGCTGCACCAAAACCTTAAATTAAGCTTACGGTAATGGGCAAAAATAAATGATTCCAATTTCACTTAATACCCCATCCTTATTACCGAAACTTCCATGAAATATAACCCAAATAGAATTCCAACGGGTAAGAAATAGCACAACCGACAAATGACCAAGAACGTTGATGCATTCATTTTAGTTCCAATTTCTGGAGAGCATTCTCCATTCCCCAGGGACAAACAAAAACACCATGAACAGTAGCACGTATCATTACCGAGAAGGAAAACTTAATGATCAATCAATTGCTGATAAACCTTATTGTCTTAACCTGAACCGAAATCCAATAATAATGATCATAATAGTTAAACCTTTCAGTAAGGAGAAATTTTACAATGCTATATAGTATTGGTGCTATAGGTTTTTGCCTTTATGGTACAACTTAAAATTGTACATTTATGTTATGGTACAACTTTATATTGTACCTATATTTTTTGTACAAATTCTTCTATGGTACAACTTGAACTTGTACATTTATGTGATGGTACAACTTCAAGTTGTAAAGTTGTATCATAACATAATGGTACAAATTGTTTTATGGTACAACCTAAACTTATACATTTAATGTTATGGTACAACTTTGAGTTGTACATTAAAGCACCAATGCTATATAGCATAGTAGAAGTGCTCTAAAGTAAGGACCAAAATTATTATAATAATAATTCCCCATCCCAGTTACTAAAAACTTCTAATTATGAACCAAAAGTAATGAACAGCTGCATGCATCCCACTTCCCAGCGTATTAGGGGGAAAAAAAATTAAACAATCACAGTCCATGATTGAGAGCAGTAGCATGCAATTATATGTGATTCCGGATTCAACAGAAGAAAAAAATGGAACCAAACTTTCTCCCAACATATAATTCATATAAACTTAATATGAATATGATTGACTACACGAGATTGCAAATGAAACAATCTTGAGTCAAACAAAGCATGTCAACGGAATGAGAAGAAGGAAACATAGAACCAAACATGAATTCCAAAACCCCAATAATCAAACAGAGATGAAGGGCTCCGATACCACTTGTTAGAATTACACTTAACATATGTAATTCACTAGAAAATTCATCTTGTCGGATATCAAAGTTTTTCGAAATACCTGGAAACATGTTGTTGATTGTCTAAAGCTAGATGCGGAAATGATGACGATCAATCTCCGGACGATGCCTCTTAGTGCACGACCCGGGAGGTTACGCAACCTTCCTCAACCAAGCTCCCTCAAACTCACTCTCAGGCAATCTCACGCATTCCGATGAGGAGAATGTGTGTGTGTTGAACTTGGTATATTGGGGACTACAACCTCCACTTCCTTATATATATCACACCATGGCTCCCATAACACCATATGTGGACTTATATGTGGGTTTCCACCCATCGGACCCACATTGGGTTCAAGTAGTCATGGGTTCAAATGAATTGACCACTTTATTTAGCCCATCAAATCAACTAACAAATATAATGTGTTCTAAAATTAGTGGCCCACTTAGATTAGCAAATGAATTTCCCAACACTTTCCACTCATTACGCACCTACATGCACATCACTCCATTTTGTTCCCACACTTAAACAACTAGGTAGCAAGCAGCCATTACCAAACAACTTGGCAATAACAAAAGAATACAAAAACGGTTACTATTGAGTAATTGCACAATGTTGACGTTCTGCTACTGCCAGCCGTGAATAGAGTACTGGGCCATATTTGAATAGAATATTAGATATTGTAAACAAAAATATATAATAATTATATATAGTTTTCGTTACAATGTTAATTATACAAGAAGGTCTTTTAATTTAACAAATTCATCAATAATAGACTAAAAAGAACGGTTAGAATCTAGTGCACTACTCAACTGAGGAAATCTAAATGATGACTCGACAAGTTTCTAAATATTTTCTTAATCAAAAGACTGGAAAGAATACCAGCGCCAGACGGACCGACGGAGGAATCCATTTTGGGTTCGTTAATCTCCTCGTTATTGATTTGTTTTATGAGGATTAGGGAAATTTTTTGAGGTTTGAAAAGAAGGGTGAGCTTTATTTTAGAGGTTTTTTTATTTCAATGAAACTTTATATTTTAGAATTTTTGGTTTTAATGTCTTGCTTCAAATAAAAATCATTGGGGCTAGAATTTTAGTCTAAATTTAGAGTAGTGGTTTGTATATGTTCATCTGAACCATTTTCCTAGTTACACAAAATCCTATTATCAAATAAAATTGGACTGAATTTTAAATAGTACTGGACCGAATACCTATATCAAAAAATTTATAAGCACGATACTAGTTCTAGATTCAAAGCAGAGCTGGGCCGTGGCCCGGGTTAGCCCACCCTAGATCCGCTATTGGCTACAACATGGATGTAGTCCATAATTATAAGAACCGAACCAGATTAACAATTGGGCCAGTATAACAATCAAATAAGTTATGATAGCGGTCTGGTTCATTGCTTGGACGATTATTGATGGACCAAATATTTTTTCACGGTTCAACATAAAACCAGATGAACCATTGCTATTTAACTGGTCCATTGGTTCACTATTTTAATAATATTTTTTTAAGAAATACTTTAACTTAAACTAAGATCATCAAACCATAATTTTTAATTTGCTTCCTCTTCTCATTTTCCAACCTTGTTGTCGACTTTACGTGGTCCACTACCGCCTGGCACTGTAATTTTTAACTTGAATTAAAAAAAATTATGATTTCTTTTGCGAGGAGGTTGAATGATTTATTAAATATTTGGATGATGATAGGGTTGGGCATGCGGGCGAATTACCCGTGGGTTGGGCCGACCCACCCGCATTTGACCCGAATTTTATTATGTGGGTGGGTGACGGGTTGCGCTGGGAGACATTAGATGGAAACTAGGGCTGCTCCTGACATTGAGCCTCCAAGCCAACATTCCAAATAACAATCCCCTCTTCTTCCCTTTATTTTTTCCTCTGATTCTTGTGCCTAGATCACCTCTCTTTCCTCCGTTGAATTATTTTCCTTAGTTCTCTGCAATTAATAATCATCTCCATCTGTAGAAAACTCCTTCATGATTGAATTTCTATCCAATTTTAGGACCAATTTGACATTTTCCCCCTGTTCCATCTTCTTGTTTGTACCCGATAACTCTCTCCACCGATTATCATGTCAATTTAACTCCTTTATATTATATACATTGTAATGTTGGTGAACCCACAAACCCACCCGCATCATCCACCATCTGCCTGACCCACCCCGAGTCTAAATGTGGATGGGTGATGGGTTAAAAACTATTAATCCGTTTAGCCACGCGTGGGTGCATTTATGGTCAAAATCCGCCCGATCCACCCAATGCCCACCCCTAGATGATGATATGAATTTGAAATTGTTTATGGTTAATGATCTTCACTCCTAAATTAGTGTAATATGCAAGTTTTGTATATTATATATCATGATCGGTTTACAAACAATTTTGTAGTGGTTAATCACTGAACCCCAAATCATTAAATTTTCCGCTTCAGCCTCCGATCCGGGTCTAAAAATATTGATGTAGTCGATTAAAATAAAACCCAATTGTGGTACGTTCTTAGGTAAAGGTTAACTATGGTGCCGATCATTGCCAAAAATATCATTACTACAATCTCTCTTTTACACCACCAATCTTTCCCTGATCCCTATGTACAGATAGTCTTTTAACTGCCGAATTAGTTATCCCTGTCCGACAGGAAAAAAGAGCTCACTTTGTTACCCAAAACTTGGACCGACGACTAGAGAGCGAAAGAGTTGCTTAATTGCTTTCAATCAATGGAAGGAAAGTGAATTATTGGCAAATGAGTCATGACCCCTCCCCACCACCATATGCCCCCATGCGCCCATTGCGCACCAAAGTGTTGATGCCTTGACAACGACTAGTTCAAAATTAAAAGGCCAACTCAAACCCTGTTTGCTTTTTCGGTTGTTGTTGTTGTGATTTGGGATGTTGTCATTAATGGATGATGATAGGGGTGGGCATCCGGTTCGGTAAAAACCGAACCTAACCGAACCGATTCCAAACCGAACCGAAACCGAAATTATGTTATTCGGTTCGGAAATCGGAAACAAAAAATGCATAGTTCGGGAGCCAGGGTCGTGTTGTCCGAACCGACAATCCGAACACCGAACCGAAAAATCGAAAAACTTAATATACATAGCCAAACCCTCATAGCCTAACTCTCCACACAACCCAATTGAGCCCAAACCCTCACTTACAGCCCAACTCTCCCCACAACCTACCGAGCCCAAACCCTCGCAAGTCACAACCCTACCCTCTAGGCAGTCCGCCCCCTTTCCCACTCACGGCCGTCGCCGCTCCACTCCGTCGCTGTCTTCTCGAGGACCTCGATTCCTCTGGCTCTCCATCGACGCCGTCCCACGCAGAGCACAGCCGACTGACCCCTTCCCATTCCCTCCACCCGCTCCAATCTCATAACCAAAAACCTGCAAAGCAAAGAACGAAACACATTCAAAGAACAAACAGAGGCAAAATCCATAAAAAAATCTCTAATTGAAGAAGCAAATTGAGGAGACAGAGAAGAATTGAAGATCGGCAACATGCAAAGCACGAAGAAAGCAGTAGTAGGTGGGGAATCTAGATCTACAATCTGGATTTGGGACTCTCTCAGTGAGAGATGTAGATGCGCACCAAAATCAAAAACAGAGACGAAGGAGAAAAAAACAAGCCAAAATTTACATGCAATCGCTGCCGTCGATGGCCATCGTCGCCTGAGTTGTTGTCGTTGCCGTCGATTGCATGCCGCCGCCGGGTTTTCCTCTCCGTCGAACGCCATCGCCACCTGAGTTGTTGCCGTTGCCGTTGCCATCAATTGCATGTCGCCGCCTGCTGCTAGGTTGTCTTCTCCGTCAATCGCCATCTCCGCCTGAGTTGTTGCCGTCGTCGTCGAGTCCAGAGAGGGGAGGAGCAATCGCCGCTTGCGTTGTGCTCTGAGTAGAGAGAGAGAGACAGAGAGAAAAAGAGAGCGCATAATAGAAAATGGGGAGATAGATTAGGGTAAATGGGGAAGTTCGGTGTTGCCTTAAAACCGAATTCGAACCGAGATATATTTCAGTTCGGTTGAACCGAACCGAAATATATCTCGGTTCGAATTCGGTTTGCCCCTTGCACTACTTCGGAAATCCGGTATTCATCTGTTCGGTTCGGTTTGAACCGAACCGACCGAATGCCCACCCCTAGATGATGATACGTATTGCCACCACCAAACTTAATCTTGGTTTGTATAAAGCATCTATATTTGTGCAATGCTTCGAATTGGATCGGGTGATTTTAAGCACGACTCAATAAATGCACTCGTAAAAATTCGTTAAAATATTAATTGGGTTTTATGTTAATCCAAGGGTCGTTTCATTTTGACTCATACGTGGTGAGAAAAACGGGCGCCACACACCTCCGGGTCAACCCACGGCAATGTTCCCGGGATGAAGGTTATTCAACGTCATTTTCCCCTTTGTTTTGTGAAATGCGCCTCTTCAGGTTTTCCCTTTTCTCCTAACCCTAACTTTAGAATTTTAAGGACATTTGAATATTATATTGATGTTAAATGAGTGCGTTTGAATTTTGTCTATATGTTGGATCCAATTATGAATTATTATTATGATATAATGTTATAGGTTAATACCTATATATTAGATGAGATTTGATACAGTTTATAAATATATTGACAATATAATGAATTTTTTCACATGTTCGAGCTACACCAGGTTCCAGCGATCGAACAATAACCATCAACCCAATTGCTCAACCGGGCTAAACCGGGTGGATAACTTTGTGGGTACCCATGGGTTCAATGACATAAACACAAACAATTTCTACAAACACGCACGGTAATAATATCAAAATTTTACCGGCAATTATATCTCTACAAAACACTAATAACATTTATCAATTTTCCATATTGGTAAGGTTTGATACAAAATAACATAATTTTACTTTTCGGTGCAGACTGGGTTTTGAAAAAAGCCCCACCCGACCCAACAATTAAAAAAAAAAAAAAAAACGGATATAGCTCTCACCCAATTCAAGTCTAGTCAACACCCACTTTGGTTAGGTCGAATTGGATTTGATATCCATAAATTGGGCTTTAATTTTCTTACTAGTTTTTACCTGATCCGTTGGTCGGATCAATTTTGGATCAATTTTTTTTTTAAATCATTTTGAGAATTTCTAAAATAGTTAATTCATTACTTTAAGTATTTTATGGTATTTGTTGATTATGACATTATTATTAATTTTTAATATGTAGTTTTTAATCAAGACATCCTAGTTTACAGTTGTGTATATTTTTTTCATATCTTAGAAACAAATTTACACTTCTTATTGTCTGTGAATTCGAAGTTGTAAGGAAATATATGCCATTTAGAATAAGTAGGAATTGAAAGTATATATAAAAATCAAGAGAATAACAAAAAGTTTATGTATAGAAATCTCAAATATGAAACAACATTAAAAAAATAATGTTTATTGTATAAATTATTATAATTTAGTGTATAGGCTTGTTTGAATAATAAGTGGGGTTGTTAAGTGTTAGATATTAATGCACTACTGTACCAATATGATATTTGACTTTTCATTTGGAGTCAACATCCTAAATTATCACTATATTATTATTTTTTCAAATCTATCCCTCAACTATTTTTCACATAAAATATGTCATTGTACTATATAGCATGTACATATTATCAAACCTACCTTTTGTGACAATTTTGATAAAATTTTGTTAAATGTTGTCGAATCATGGTTCGACCTGTTGGCCTTGTTCATGATTTTTTTTTAAATTGTTTTAATTGGTGTATTAATTCATGAATTTTTTCAATTCCTCCATGTTCTTATTTTTGTGTTCTAAAGTTGGAGCACTAACCATGTCCCTCGAATTTTATGACCTAAGGATTAATTAATGTTTGATAATGTGTAAATAATTTTATTATAAATGAAATAATTTAATCACGTAGCCATACACATTCGGATAAATAAGTCTCTACTCGTTCTTAACATCAATGTATAAGACACTCAATAAATACACACTTTACTCGACTTTGGTTACCTGATGAAATACAAATTTCAACCAAATACCAATAATATCAAAAATAATAAGTATACTTCTTGTTTAAATCCGATAAGCCAAAGCATGGCCCATCCGGTAATCCAAAAAATAGGTCATGCAAAAAAGTACAATTGCTCACTCCCGGCTCCAGTTAGTCAAATAAGGCGTAGCAGGCACCTAAATATGGAAAAGAAGCTCTTAGTGCGGGACAATACCAATGAGGCAACAACCCGCAATTGTGAGAAAGAAGCTAGTGAACTACATGACCATGCGCCAATATGGTTCGTTATACTGATGCTTAAACATTTTAAGTGATTACAAATCTTCGAACATTTTAAGTGATTACATTTTGAAACCTAAACTTTATAAATCTACAAATAGGTCCATTTTTGTATGTGTAGATAAAACACACTCAAGTAAATGGGTATGGAAGCAACATTCATATTCTATCCAAACTCATCTAAAATCTCCCAATCCCATTATATGCTTCACCTATACTTAATCCATAATCAATGGGTCTACTTGGACCTAGCCCATGATAATCAAAAGTCAACCCAATACGAACATTGAAATTGGAAACCCATCCGTCGATCCAAACGCATATCGGCTTCACACAAAGTTTCTACTTTCTACCACCTCCGCTTAGCAGAACCGAGCTAGATGAAATTAAGTTGAACTCAATTAGTTCGCGGAGCGGGAGCGAAAACGTTATAGCGTACATATTTAAATAATTCGATATTAAGGTGTAATAAAAGAGGCATCGATATTATATTATCATTTATAAAATTTTAACACAACTAAAAATAATAATTAAATAAAATAATAAAGTAAAAGAAAATATAAGCAAAACCAAAATGAAAGATTATAAGAAGAAACGACATCATTCTTGGGTAACCAAATTTTGAGACAAAGAAAACCTGCAAGAATCTATTTTCTCCAACCCCCACTCCTTTGTAGTAGGGTGGCTATACGGTCCGGTCCGGTTAAATTGGACCAAATTGATCCAGTTCTAGTCTGGTCTTTTTGGGAATATAAGGACCAAAGATTGGATTGGATACGGTCTAGTTTTGATCCAGTTCGGTCTTGACCTGGTCCGGTCCTAATTTGATCTTGATTTTAGATTGAGTTTGTGGGGATTTGAGTGTTGGGGTCTCTTATCCGGTCTCTTATCCGGGTTTTTTTACCTCAAATCTAAACTCGAATATGAGATTGAATTGTTTGCTATCCGGTCCCAATCCGGTCCCGATCCGGGTTATACGATTCGGTTTTGGGTAAAACCAAACAGTGCGCACCAAATAGCCAGCCCTACCTTGTAGCATCTCACATAAGCCCAGAACTTCCTCATCTTCTTTCTCTTCCTATTATTACCATTCTTAAAATCCTTATCTCCAATCAGTTTTATCATCCCACTATGCGGTCTTCCCTTCCATGGCAACGCGGCGTTAGCACTTCTATGACGCCATCGCCCTTGCTCCCACCAACCCAGTCTCCTACTCCAATGAATCGATGGCGTCGCCTCCTAGAAGAACTTTTTTTTGGTACAGATCGACGGCTTGCAGAGACCTAACACCGCCGCCTCGTCTTCTATGTCTAGACCCGCTTGCAGAGACCTAACACGTTCGCCAATTCGTTTTCCTGGCTGGATATGTGGGCTAAATTCGCCGCAAGCCCATTTAGTCTCGCCTTTCCGTTGGCAGCACACCACGGTATTAGTACCAAATAGCCTATCACTAATTTTTTCACTATGAATTTCGGTTCAATTTTACAATAATTGGATTTATTTAATTGAAGTAGAGTAGTTGTTGGAATTGTCGGTTTTGAGTTATTTAATTAAATTTTCTAGTTCATAGTAGCCTTCATTGTTATAGTACTTAACTGTATACTATTTTCATGTTACATATTTGGGCAGATAGGAATAGAAATGCAATTGAGAAGAATCAAGCACCATACAAAGTGGAGAGGATCCTGCATGCCAAGAAAGCTTGGAGTGATAGAAACACAAATATGAAAATTAAGGGTCGTAACTTGGTGTTGGTTAATTGATATGGACAATTGCTTTAGAAGAAGATGAATAGGATTTGAGTTGACCTTGTAATGAACTGGTATGCTACAGGTCCGAGGTTTGTGATGTAATAAAGGAGCATGCAATGAATCATATAACAAGAGAACCATCGATGTAATCAGATTTATTTTATCATTGAGAATTTAGGAGCATTTTGATAACGAATTAGACTGCAGGTGGAAATGAAGGAAACTAAACATGTAGGCAAGACTGAATTGAGGAAGCTACTTGAATTATTTAAGAACAAAGGAAAGGCATGACAGTGATAGAAACACAAATCATTTGAAAAGCAACAATTAATCTAGCTTAACATAGATCATTCTAGAATCTCCTTGTACACAATATTATGCATATTCTTCAATTAAGGTGGGGTAAACAAAGTTTAGGTAGATACATACACATCATGTTCCAAAAGGCATTACAACTAACTGTTAATGCTAAAATGATGTGGCCAACCCATGAAGGGAGAGTAGCAATGTGAACAAAATAACTCTTCATTAGAGACCTTGTTTATCAAATATAGTGAAAATAACTCTACATACATAATAATCAAACAATAGAATATATTTACATGTGGATGGTGTACTGACAAGGAGAAGATAACTGAACTTATTTGTATATAAAGAGCTTGGTGGCCATGAAACCCATAAGCAGGCAAAGCCACAATAGAAGCCTGGCAATACTAAAACATGTGTGGCATATAACACATCAGAATAACTCATCAGAGTCAGCAAACACTAAATACATATGGCGA